TTCAATTTTTGTTGAAATCAAACAAAGTTTAAATACTGGAACCTATCTTGGACCAACTTGAAAACTGGGCCCATAATCAAAAATCTAAACACATGTTTAGATTCAGCAAATCAAAGAACCCCAAGAATTCAATTTTTGTTAAAATCAAACTAAGTTTAATTTGGACCCTTTGGACCTCAATGTAGACCAATTTAAAAAACAGGACCCAAAATTAAAAACCTAAATACACGGTTAGATTTGGAATATCAAAGAACCCCAATAATTCAATTTTAGATGAAATCAAACAAAGTTTAATTTTGGACCCTTTTGACCTCAATATGAACCAATTAGATAACGGGGTCCACAAATAAAAAATCTAAATACATGGTAAGATTCAGCATATCAAAGAACCCCATATATTCAATTTTTGTTGAAATCAAACAAAGTTTAATTTTGGACCCCAATTTGGACCAACTTGAAAACTGGGCCAAAAATCAAAAATCTAAATACATGTTTAGATTCAGCATATCAAAGAACCTCATATATTCAATTTTTGCTAAAATCAAACAAAGTTTAATTTTGGACCCTTTGGACATTAATGTAGACCAATTTGAAAACTGGACCCAAAATTAAAAATCTAAATACACTGTTAGATTCGGCATAACAAATAAATAAATGTGATCAAAGATTTTACAAATCTAATGCGCCATACTGTGCAATTAAAGATTACTTCTTGAAATTTTTTAATATTTGAAATTTGAAAAAAAAATAATATTTGAAGAATAATTCTTTTTAATTTCTGAAATCTGAAATGAGAAAAAATTGGCCCCCCACAATTTCTTTTTATCCCCCCCCCCCCTTTTTCCCCCAAAAAAATTCTTTCCCTCAAGATATGGTCATAATCTCAATTCAAATTTCCAATGGAGTTGGCAACCATAATTACCCATTTAAATTTACCATAGTGCTAACTTAATCTATTTTATAATAGAATTAATAAAAATATAGTGTCAAATCTTTCATATGGATTTTTTTGTAAAAAAAAAAGATGAAAACATTTGCAGATATTTTTACTGGTCTTCCTTTATAAATATGCATTTCTTTAAACATAATTTAAAAGCAGTGTAAGGGAAGTAACCAAAACATTGTATTTGGATTACCTCCCTTACACTGTTTTAGATTATCTTTATTGTTCATTAACCATTACTTTATACATAATTTAAAAGCAGTGTAAGGGAGATAATTTCAATGATGTATTTGATTTATCTCCCTTACACTGCTTTAAATTATGTTTTGTACTAAAGTATTTGTCCATTAACCAGGACAACCTTGTTTTTCCCCCTTTTTTGCCCCTAATTCCTAAACGGTTTGAACCATAACCCCCCAAAGCAAATCCTAACCATCCCTTTGTGGTATGGAAACTTGTAGTATAATTTCAGAGAGATCCATACACCGTTCCACAGTTATTGTCTGGAAACTAGAAAATGCTCATTTTTGGCCCCTTTTTGGCCCCTAATTCCTTAACTGTTGGTACCATAACCCCCAAAATCAATCCCAACCTTCCTTTTGTGGTATTTAACCTTATGGTCAAATTTCAAAAAGATCCATTCACTTAAACTAAAGTTAGAGTGCGAAAACCAATATGTTTTCGGACGACGACGCCGGACGACGACGCCGGACGACGACGCCGACGCCGGACGACGACGACGCCAACGTCATACCAATATACGACCACAAAATTTTTTTGCGGTCGTATAAAAACTGAGAAATTTCATAAAAATTATTGTTTTCATGGGCAATAACTCCAAAATTGGGTTGTCTGATTAGTCTGAAAATTTTCTAGCAAATAGATCTTGACCAGTCACCTGATGATAATATCTACCCCATGATGTAACGGCTTAAGTTTTGAGATATGAACTAATAAAGAGCTGCGCCATGAGCTCATGATATGCCCGTCGCTTTTTCAAAGAATAATGTTCCATAACTCCTCAATGTAATACCAGAAATTTATAAAAACTAAAGGGAGATTATTTTAATAGATATAAACCAGTCACCAAAAATTCATGAAAACTGCTCAAAGCACTTTTGAGTTATTGTCCGAAAACTGGAAAATCCCCCTTTTTTAATGAATAAACCCCATATCTCGGAAACATAAAATCTAAAATTTATAAAAATCGAACAGGAGCTCACGTCAGTAGATATAAACAATTCACCAAATATTCATGAAAACTGCTCAAAGCATTTTTGAGTTATTGTCTGAAAACTGGAAAATCCCCCTTTTTTAATAAATAAAACCCCATAACTCGGAAAAGTAAAATCTAAAATTTATAAAAATCAAAAGGGAGCTCACGTCACTAGATATAAACAATTCAACAAAGTTTCATGCAAATTGGTTAAAGCGTTTTTTAATAATTGTCCGTCATGTTGACGACGGACGGACAGGCGGACGGACAACGATTTACCATAATACGTCCCGTAAACGTGCGTATAAAAACTGCATTTTATCCCCATGTTTGGTTTTTAGCCACGGCAGCCATGTTTGTTGATTGACCGGAATAAAAAACATACTTTATACTAGATACCATAAGGATCATTCACTCCAAGTTTGGTTGAAATTGGTTCTGTAGTTTCAGAGGAAAAGAAAAATTTTACAATGACTATAATTTTTCATTGAAGGGCAATAACTCTTATAGGAAGTCGTCGGACAGTTTTGATGTAATGGACAGTAGATCTCAACATTCAAAACATTTTTGCCCTGTCTGATTTTCAAGAGGAGACAAAAACTTGCATTTTACCATACCATGTGTTCTATTTTTAGCCATGTAGGCCATGTTGGTTGGTAGGCTGGGGCATCGGACACATTTGTTAAACTAGATATCCCAATGATGATTGTGGCCAAGTTTGATTACATTTGGCCCAGTAGTTTCAGTGAAGAAGATTGTAAAAGTTAACAAATGATGACTACACACACCAAGTAATAAGAATAGCTCACTTGGCCCTATGTGCACACACTAAAATGTCTTGCCTGCTTTACTAACTATGATTGATAGTCTAAGAAATCAAATTTTACTATAAGAATAACATAACCTTAACATTTACAATGTTCCATTGAAATGAGGTCAAGGTCAGATAAATCTTGCCAAAGACATGCACATCTTGCAATCATTCCATATTCCAAATATAGTTGACCTATTGCTTATAGTATATATACAATAAACATACCAAAACATGAAAACTTAATATTGACCAATGAACCATGACAATGAGGTCATGGTCAGAAAAACCCCGCCAGACAGACATGTACACATGACAATCATTCCATGCATCAAATAGAGTTGACCTTATTGCTTTATTTATAGTATCTAAGAAACATACTTAACCAGGAAAACTTATCATTGACCAGTGAAGCATGAAAATGAGGTAAAGGTCAAATGCACCTTGCCAGACAGTCATGTATACCTTACAATCATTCCATACACCAAATATAGTTGAGCAATTGCTTATAGTATCTTAGAATCCTGTCCCCTTTTCCCAGAAAATGACCTACCGAATTAAACTTATCACCAGATTTGTACTAACATGAGTAACACAACAGGTGACACTTGGAGCAGGATCTGCTTACCCTTCTGGAGCACCTGAGATCACCCCCAGTTTTTGCGGGGTTCATGTTGCTCAGTCTTTGGTTTTCTATGTTGTGTTTTGTGTACTGTTGTTTGTTTTTTTGTCTTTTTCGTTTTTAGCCATGGCATTTTCAGTTTATTTTCGACTTATGAGTTTGAATGTCCCTTTGGTATCCTTCGCCTCTCTTTTAGAAGAGACCTAACTACTGAAACTTAACATTGACCAATGAACCATAAAAATGTAGTCAAGGACACATGATACCTGCTAGACAGTCATGTACACCTTACAATCTTTCCATACAACAAATGAAGTTGACCTATTGCTTATAGTTTCAGAAAAAACTAAACAAAACACAAAAAATTAACATAGACAAATAAACCGTAAAAATGAGGTCAAGGTTAGATAAAACCTGCCAGACTGAACTGTACAACCTACAATCATTCCATACACCAAATAAAGTTAGTTGACTTACTGCTTACAGTATCTGAATAAACCGACCTTATCACTAAACTTTAACCTTGATCACTGACCCATGGAATGAGGTGGAGGTCAGGTGAACCCTGTCCAACAGACATGAAGACCTTGCAAGGAACCCATATACCAAATATAGTTATCCTTTTACTCATAATATGTGAGAAATTCACATGACAAATAAAAACTAAACTTTTTTTTCAAGCAGTTACCGAATCATAAAATGAGGTCAAGGAAATGGATATCTGACAAAGGAAATTTTGTAACATACGGCATCTGTATACATGGTATGAAGCCACTAGGTCTTCTACCATCTGAAATGTAAAGCTAAATAAAAATAGTTTACCCTGCCACCGCCAGTTTGTAATCAATGTGTCTGACATTCTGCGACTTATTCTGCGACATAATGGTTTTCAAAATAATAGACAATACTTGCATTTACCCCATATGTCCTATTTTTAGCTTTGGTGGCTATGGTGGTTGGCTGGCAGATCCCTCAGACACAATTTTAAATAAAGGCAACAGTAGTATACCGCTGTTTAAAAAAGAAACCCCAAAGATGATTTGTAATCAATCTGTCAGGCATTCTGCGACTTAACGGTTTTCAAAATAATAGACAATACTTTCATTTACCCCATATGTTCTATTTTTAGCCTTGGTGGCTATGCTGGTTGGCTGGCAGACACAATTTTAAACAAGAAACCCAAAGATCATTGTGGCAAAGTTTTGTTTAATTTGGCCTAGTAGTTTCAGCAGAGACAGACCCTAAGGGATGGCAAAAGCCCACACCGGCCTCCTATAGAAATAAAATGTTATACTTAAAAGGGACATAAATAAATTAAATTTTCCAGCAATTGGTCTGGTAAAAAGGCTTATACTGCCTTCAAATGAACTTTTTAAGTCAGATATTCAATGTGTATATGCAAATGACATTTAACTCATATAACAATTTATTGTCAGTTCATAAATACAATTTTTATCACAATATCAGAGCATATTGAGGCAATTCAAAACACCTGTCAGGATGTTAGATCTACAGTGGATTTACAGTCCATTTTTTATCTATACAGATGATCTGCCTGCAGATTAGAAGCTATTTCTGCCTCCCACTTGTCACCATTCTCAAGCAGTTTTTCTTTGTTGTACAGTAGTTCTTCCCTTGTTTCTGTTGAGTATTCAAAGTTAGGACCCTGGTTAAAAAAAGAAATGACATGTATAACATTAATGGAGAGTATAAAAAAAATTTGTAAGGAGTTCCACGGAACCCTGTGTCTTGCCTGTGATTGCTGCTGTCAGTGTAAAAGTGTAACATTGACTAAAAGTGAGTCCATTTATCAGTAAAATACAGATTTTAACTTTTCTTTAGATGCTATTTCTTGGTCTTGAAGATTTGCTTCTGTCCATGTTTCATAACAATCCATGAAGGTTCACAAATTTACCATGTAAAAAAAATTTAATCCCAGACTGTGTAAATGTTTAATAACTGTAAAAAAAAACAGTCCATCTATCAGAAAAATAATGAAAAAAATATAATTATTTTCAAAGGTTTGCTTCAGACTTAATCATCTCTTAATCATTAAAAAGCTTCTGCCAAAGTTTCATAAAACTCTATGAAGTTTTGACAAAGTAATTGATGTGTAACAATCTTTAACCACAGACTATATCTATACGTTGTTAACTGTAAAAAAAAAAATCCATTTACAGGGTTATGTTCCTCTCGTATACTTTATGATGGTATGATACTAAACCCCTAACGGGAGGGATTGTGCTTGATTTCCATATGATGAAGACATAATCTTTCAATCAGTTTAATTGAGGTCTGGAGCTGGCATGTCAGTAACTGCTAGTAGTCCTTTGTTAATTTATGATGATTATTGTGATTATTCTTTGTTTGTTCTGTTATCTATTTCAACATCGGACTCAGACTTCTTTTGAACTAAATTTACTGTGCATATTGCTGTGTGTTTGTGTATTCCACATTGGCTAGAGGTATAGGGGGTGGATTGAGATCTCACAATACATGCTTAACCCCTGCCACATTTTTGCTATGTCGGCCATCTTGGTTGGCAGGCTGGGTTATCAGACACATTTTTTAAACTAGATACCCCAAAGATGATTTTGGCCATGAGGAGAAGATTTTTGTAAAAGTTAACGGACGGCGACGATGGATGCCAAGTGATGAGAAAAGCTCACTTGGCCATACTGCAAGGTGAGTTAATAATAAACTAGAATTTCTTAAAAGAAAGGCAAAAGAAACCAAAGGGACATTCAAACTCATAAGTCAAAAATAAACTGACAATACCATGGCAAAAAAAGAAAAAGACCAAAAGACAAACAACAGCACACAAAACACAACATAGAAAACCAAAGACTGAGCAACACAAACCCAACCAAAAACCAGGGGTGATCACAGGTGCTCTTGGAAAGGCAAGCAGATACCCCTCAACATGTGGCACTATGTATCACAGATACCCTTTATTGCAGAAACAAACAGTAAATTATGTCAAAATTCAAATGGAAAATGATCTGTATTTTATTTTTCATAGCATTGCTTTAAAATCTAAAAATATTTCTTTCAAACAGTACTTTCATTATCACTTGGAAAACCCCCAAAAAATCTTTGGGGAATAACTCTTGAAAAGTAAATATCAAAATTGAATATAAACTGCATTTTATTATCCATGAACTTGTGTTTAATTTTCAAAAGATTTTGGTACTTTAATTATCTTCCAATAAAACACTCCACAGGGGGCAGCTTGGTACAATTGAAGAGGTTGAACCCTGAACAGTTGGGGCAAGAATGGACACAACATTCAAGCTTGATACAGCATAGAATTTGGATTCTGATTTAATATTTGACACAGCATAGGTTTCTGACACAGCATGAATGTGGTCTATGAACTTAAAAATTAGACATTGGACATTAACCTATAATGGTTCAATATCCATAATCTAAGTACATGGTAAGATTCAGCAGATCAAAGAACCCCAATATTCAATTTTTGATGAAATGAGTAAAAGGATGACTATATTTGGTATGGAACCTTGTGGTACAATTTCATAGAAATCCATAGACTTACACTCAAGTTATTGTCCGGAAACCAGAAAATCCTTGTTTTTTGGCTCCTAATTCCTCAATGGTTTGGGCCATAACCTCCCCCCCCCCCCAAATCAATGGAACCTTTTGGTACAATTTCATAAAGATCAATACACTTATACACAAGTTACTGTCCTGAAACAAGAAAAATGCTTGCTTTTGGTCCCTTTTTGCAACTAATTCCTAAACAGTTTGGACAATAACCCCCAAAATCAATCCCAGCCTTCCTTTTGTGGTATGATACCTTGTGGTATAATTTCCTAGCGATCCATACACTTATACTCAAGTTATTGTCTGGAAACCAATAGTCTTCAGACGACAACGGAGACGTCCTACCATCATACGGCCGCAAAAATTTTGCGGTCAGATAAAAATTGCCTAAACGTTACAACTCATCATTATCAAGCTGCAGACCAAATATATAATCATTCACTATCATACAAGCCAAGAAAACTTTGACAAACATTTTCCTTGTTCAATGAGTGTTGTTAAATTTCAAACTATTAGCAAACAGGAAGTGGCATCAGGGCGGATGAAATAATTGCATATCAAGCTGCATTGTAAATTATGACAAGGTTTGCTTAGCTAATCATTTATCATAGCTAAATATATTCTATTATTTTAGGAGGGGGATAGAATCAGTTAAAAATTTTACTTGACATACAGTAGCTATAACTAAAATCCATATTAGCAATTAGCAATGTGTATTTTATCTTAAACTATTAAAATGTGAATTATAAAAATTTACTCTATTTCTGGGTTTAAAAAATATGCCTATTTTCTCAAAACAACATCCTTTATGACCATGATGACAATCTTGGGGCAATAATTTTTATATATTACATCCCTTTTTCCTAATTAAGACTTAATTGATGTGGGAAAGCACTGATCAACTGAGAGGCACAAGTTTTCAATGTCACTATTAATAAATGTCAGGAAGCTTTTGGAGCGACAAAGCGAGAAAAAACTCAGCTGCAAGAGGGTTAAAGTACATACAAAGGCATTTCACTTTTATCATACTGATACCATCAAGCAAATTGGATTCCAGAACAAAATTTGAAGAATATTTTTTTGTCGATTTGAATCAGAATAGGGAAATTTATAAAGGATCTTCCATACAATATTCTTTGTAAGTTTGCTCCCATTAATCTTACAAATTTCACAGGAAAGTTACAATATTCCAGACAATGGATGCCAAGTGATGTTTATAGAATAAGACTCAGGGCTGGTGAGCTAAAAGCAACATAATACTGAAACAAGAGGCTCCTAAGAGCCTGAATAGCTCCCCTAGAATTTTTGTGTATGGTGCTTCAATGATTATTTTTCTGTTTAATGTATATTAATGTGTGTTTAAACATGCCATTTAAAGTTTCTCTTTATCATAGTTTCTGCAAAAAAATAAAAATAAATAGGTTAAAATAATCTTTTAAGGGCAATAGCTCTTAATATATGACAACGGATGCCAAGTGATGGCAAAACAGTACTGATGGTCTTAAGTTATAATAAAGAAATGTATTATTCAATAGACATTCCCATACCTCAACAATAGCATCAACTGGACATGCTTCTTGACAAAAACCACAGTAAATACATTTGGTCATATCAATGTCATATCGTGTTGTACGCCTGCTGCCATCTGCTCTTGGCTCTGCTTCAATTGTTATTGCCTAGAGAAAAATAAAAAAATCATCTCTTTTCTTACAAATTTCATAAAGGCAGTTTAAGTTGTAAACACTAAAATCAAAGTGAAAAGACATAAAATATGTCAGATATACCTAAAAAGATACTAGAAGCCAAGCGTTTATATCTAATTCTTATTAATGCAATTCGTTTGTATCGGTGATTTTCATTGGTCGTCATCATAAATTTTGAGGGGGTTGATTCCACAGTCTACATTTCTGTAACTAAGGTAATTTTAGCCAACCTTTTGAATAACAGAGTTTGTGGCATGTGATATCTTCCAAAAATAAACCAAAAAGTCACATTTTTTACCTGAAAACCTTGTTTTTGTCAATATTTATATCATTCTGAAGCGTTCGAAAATCCTAAAGACATAGAGTTTACATTTGATGCCGGAAGTGTACCTATGAATGTTACAATGTTTAGATGCCAAAGACAATTAAAAGAACATAGTTTCATGGACTGTTTTATTTACAACAATATGAAGTCAAAATAATAATTTAAGTGGAACTTATTTATAAAGTTGCATTATAATGGAGATTATACCGTATTGTATTTTAAGCATGGCCTAGTACTGTCGCAAATAAATGTTTACCTATGGCCGTTACACGTAGCTTGGTAAACTCAGTTAAACCGAAGTTTTAAGTAGGCCAAGCTTAAAGTACAATACAGTTATCTCCTTATTCTTTTACAGTTAAGGTCAAAGTGGCATCATCAAAGGTAGGTCAACTGGAACAAAAATTTCATTAATTTCAATTTATCAATATAAATCTACATACTATAAATCAGCAAAATATCTGAAATCAAATAGCAAAATATAATCAAAGCATTAATAATAATAATAATGATAATTCTTTATTTAAAGAGGGTTACACAGTTAGCTATAAAACTAATCTTCCCTGAGGCCCTCATGAAATACAATGAAATAAAACAAACAATTACAAAATATCAAACAAACACACATATATGAAAAAATGAAATAAAAAATTGTTATGAAATATACAATTTTCAAAACAGGTAAAAATTACAAATTCATATAGTATTGGCATCATTCAAATTACCTCAACAATATCTTAAGTTTGACATGTTTGAGTAAGTGTGTGAAAATTATTATACATATAAAATTACACAGCTTCTTAATGTTCCAACAAGTAATTTTTTAAATCTTTTTTGAACGAGCTTGTACTTGAGGTTGATTTTTTCAGGGATGTTGGTAAGTTATTCCATAAAATAGATCCTGAATATATAAAAGATGTCTTATACAGCTCTGTTTTGGCTTTTGGAACTTGTAAATTTTTGCAAGACACATTCCTCAAACAATATTGGTTTATTTCTGGCATTTCTTTAAATTTTTCAGTGAGATATACAGGGGCTTCGTTCTTAAGGCATTTCTGCATCAAAACAGATTTGTGGTATGAGATTCTGTTCTCTACTGTCATCCACCCAAGCTGTTTAAACAGTGGAGCTGATGATGAAAGTGGATCAGCATCTAAAATAAGTCTTCAGCCCTTTTCTGCAATTTTATTATTCTGGCTTGCTCATTTTTAGCACAACCACTCCAAATAATACAACAATAATCTATCAGTGGGAGAATATAGCCATTATAAAACAATTTTCTTGAATCAATATTTAGAAATTTCTTGATTTTAGAGAGTAAATGAAGTCGGGATGATATTGATGAACATAAGTAATTAACATGGCCTGTCCAGGACAGATTAGTCAATTCTAACACCTAAAAGTTTTTCAATTGATGATTTTTGAAGAAAATTATTCTCAATAGTTAGAACTGGTTCTGCTTGATTTAAACACAGCCTTTGTCTTGTACCTAAAACCACACATTTAGTCTTATCTGAATTTATGAACATGTTATTTTTATGACACCATTTTTCAACACATTGGAGATCATCTTGTACTTTTAATTGCATATCAGCATTACTCTTTCCTGATGTATGCATAGTTGTGTCATCAGCATACAAGTCTGTATGGCAGTTTTTGATGTGTAATGGAAGGTCATTTATGTACAAAACAAACAAAATGGGACCAAGTATTGAGCCCTGTGGAACACCAAAATTTATAAACTTTTTATCAGAAAACTGATTATTTATATGGACTTGCTGTGTTCTTTCACTCAAATATGATTTAAAAAAATCAACAGTATCTTAATTCATGGAAGCCATAAATTTGAAGTTTTTTACATAAAATTTCATGATCAACAACATCAAAAGCTTTCTTAAAATCCAGGTGGACTGCCAAATTGATATTTCCATTATTCATTTCATGTAGCCATTTATCAATGATATTAATTAGGGCAGTTTGACATGAATGGTTAGGTCTAAAACCAGACTGGGAAGGGTGTAAAATTTGAAACTTTGTCAAATAATTATACAGATGTTTAGATACATGTCTCTCTATTAATTTTTGATAATGTTGGCAAAACAGATATTGGTCTGTAATTGCTAGCTACGTTTTTTTCACCAGATTTGAAAAATGGAGCTACCTTGGCATTTTTTAAAACAGATGGATAAATACCAGTATCAATCATTCGATAAATGATTGTCAGTTCTGTGATCCTGCCAATTGTTTTTACTAGTCAGATATTTCTGATCTCATTTTCAATAAAAAAAAACAATATACCAGCTCCTGTTAAACATTTCAAGAGTTATAAAAACTTGAGATAAATGATTTTGGCCCAAAATGTAAATTTGTGTTCAGACACAAATATCTAAATAATATATGCAGGGTGCAGCTTCATACCACCACAGAGGTTGAAGCTTGAACAGTTGGGGCAAGTATGGACACAGAATGAATGTGGTCTAAGAATTTAAAAATTTGAAATTACACATTTACCTTTTATGGTCCAATATCCAAAATTAAAATATATGGCTAGATTCACCATATAAAAATAACCCCAAGAATTCAATTTTTGAAGAAATCAAACAAATTTTAATTTTTTGACCATTTGGACCTCAATGTTGACCAATTTGATAACGGGGCCCAAAATCCAAAATCAAAATCCACAGTTAGATTCAGCATATGAAAGAACCCCATATATTCAATTTTTGTTGAAACAAAGTTTGATTTTGGACCCTGATCTAGACCAACTTGAAAACTGGTCCCAAAAACAAAAATCTAAATACATGATTAGATTCAGCATATCAATTCAAAGAACCCCAAGAATTCAACATTATGTTAAAATCCAACTAAGTTTAATTTTGGACCCTTTGGACCTTAATGTGGACCAATTTAAAACTGGCCCAACATCAATAATAAAAATACACCGTTAGATTCAGCATATCAAAGAACCCCAAGAATTAAATTTTTGTTGAAATCCATATATGATGATAAAATTGAGAATGGAAATGGGGAATGTGTCAAAGAGACAACAACCTGACCAAAGAGCAGAAAACAGTTTAAACCTGGCCCAACATCAATAATATAAATACGCAGTTAGATTCAGCATATCAAAGATGAACAATGATGAGTTTATTTAGATCTTGCATATCAAAGAACCCCAATAATTCAATTTTAGATTTCCTCTACCAAAATTGAAACCATGTTCAATTTAAATTTCTTATGCACTGTACATCATTTGACATGATAGACTAAGGTAGTTATATTGCATAGGGTTTATATACATGAAAAAAACATGTGTACTACAGAATAGAGAAAATGTTTTAAAATAAAGAATAGAAAAAAATGGGCAATTAAATGAAGAAAATAGAATAATGGGTGTTTAGATATACAGAATAGTGAAAATTTGTATAAAAAATAAAGAATACAGAAAATGATGACCCAAGCACTCTACCCATCCTGCTACCAAGACCCTCTCACCTTGCCCATAACTCAAAATTTTGACCTCCTAAACATATAAATTCTAAAGTCAGAAGTATGTAGACATATTTTGAGTAGGTATCTCAATACTAGTAAAAAATAAAATTGAGTTATCTTTCTTTATTCGGGTGTGCTCCTTTTTCGGAGTATTATACACAGTAGTCAGCAGAATTGAATACGATCAACAATGGCGGCAGGTTTTGTTATTTTCGTATCAAAAGTGAGGGCAGGCAAAGACAAATTACTTCTGAATTAACCATTTTTTATAGAATACAAGTAACACAATGTTTTTTAACACGTTTCTTATGGTTTTCGTCTTTCTGTCAATTACGTTATCTTCATCAAACTACTGTAAACGTTGCAAAATATGTGTGGCCATATGATAATTTCTTCAAATTAAATGACAAATGCCGACTGACCGATTCTATTTGAATGAATTAATGTTGATGATCATTAATGACCCATCCGATAAACGGATTGCCTGTAACAACATATTATGACACCTGTTGTAACCGTTGATTAGTTTGGGGTCGTAAACAAAGTCATAAACTTGTGACAGTCGCCAGGTAAAATTTCGTACAATTCTTTTTTTTACTTTTACCAATTTAAATGACGATCGATAATATTACCGTTACAGTCAAGAAATGAAAATTATGACATAGGAAAATTTTGGCGCCAGAAATATAGCCAGCAGCCGTATTTTGTCGCCAGATGAAATAAAAAATCGCAATTTGCGACATTGGCGAAGCCCAGTGCAGTCCCTGCTTTTTAATAGAGATAAAAGCATGACTATGAGCTTTTACATCCAACACCTAGACAGTCCCAATTACTGAATCTTTTAATTTGGGTTTCAACTCTTAACAAATTGAAATTAAAGAACCTTTGTGAGCATCCTCACATACCCCACCCCCTCACATTGTCACTGGGCGAACAAAATCACAACCGATACCTATGTTCAAAGACTAATGACACCTACAAAAGTCAACTGATAAGAATTTCTTGTGGATATGCACATTTACATATTATGTCCTTATTATCTACAAAGTTTCATGAAATTCTGCTGTATGGTTTCAGAGGAGTTGCAATGACCAACTGCTGCAGTAGTATACTTAGGCCAAAGTTCTAAGTTCAAAGAGGCATAACTCCTAGAAAAAAAATTGAATCATACCTTCCTGTCGATATGCACATCTATATATTATGTCCTAATTATCTACAAACTTTCATGAAATTCTGTTGTATGGTTTCAGAGGAGTTGCAATGACAAGAACAGGACTGACAGACTGACTGACTGACAGACAGACGGACGGACTGACAAACTTTGTTCTGTGGGGTATAACAAGCATATACTGTGGATTCATTTATTTTCGTGGGTACCAATTTTGGTGGATTGAGGGAAAACTTGCATATTTGCTTAATAACTTGCTTGTTACTTGATTTCGTGGTTTTACCAATGTCTGCATACAAGTCTATTGAACATTTGAAAAATTGGTATCCAACGAACAATAATGAATCCACAGCACCTATACTCTATGATGATTGAGTTCCTCAGACTTTCCTGGCGATAGAACATACACAGGAGGAATATAGTTTCCATGTTTAAATCCAAAAACATTATAAATGTATGTTAAAATCTGTTTGGGTGAATATAGTTCTACAATTTTTATAAAGCAGGCAAAACATACAACAGAATTGAGAATCGAAACATGGAATGAATGAAAGAGACAACAACCCAACCAAAGAGCAAGTATGGAGTCCAATAAATATACTTGACAATTTTTACAAAAGACAAGTCTGGAAATGCTACCATTGCTCTTCTGTAATAAGTGGAAGCTTTATGGATAATTAAATTTTGTGACTAACATAAGCATGATGAGGGAAAAGTAAGAAAACCTCAAAATCTACTTAAATATTACTAGTAAACCTTGAAGTTTCAAGAAAAAGTTTTTTAAGAATAAAAAGTCTATTTGTATCTAAATATATATATTTTTCAAATAAAAAAAGAAAATATCAATCAAATAATAATTTCATAATATGATCAAATATAATAAATCACACATTTGGAAATTGTCAAATAAGGGATATTGGTGTCACATTATACATGTTATAATGTATATTTGATTCAAGCAAACTGTTAATTACGGTAACCTATTTTAAAACACTCCTTATAAAAATAAAATGCTCCACTGGGTGCAGCTTGATACGACCACAGAGGTCGAACCCTGAACAGTTGGGGCAAGTATGGACACAACATTCAAGCTTGATACAGCTCTGAATTTGGATTGTGATTAAATATTTGACACAGCATAGGTTTCTGACACAGAATGAATGTGGTCTAAGATTTAAAAAATTTAAATTTACCTATTATGGTCCAATATCCAAAATCTAAATACATGTACATACACGGTTAGATTCAGCATATCAAAGAACCCCAAGAATTCAATTTTTGTTAAAATCAAACATAGTTTAATTTTGGAACCTTTGGACCTTAATGTAGACCAATTTGAAAACGGGACCAAAAATTAAGAATCTAAATACACGGTTAGATTCAGCATATCAAAGAACCCCAATATTTCAATTTTTGATGAAATCAAACCATATCATTATTATTTGCTTTTATATATAAATCGAAAATAACCAACTTATTATGGAAAATTTTAAAGAAAAAAAAAAAGGAAAAAAAGGAAAAAAAATCCCTCCACCAATTTTTTGAACCCCCTTATGATTCATCTACCCCAAACTCAATCCCAGCCTTCCCTTTGTGGTATGGTACATTGCAGTACAATTTCAGAGAGATCCATACACTTGAACACAAGTTATTGTCTGGAAACTGTTAAAATGCTTGTTTTTTGGCCCCTTTTTGGCCCCAAATTCCTAAATGTTTAGGGCAATTACCCCTACACTCAAACCCAGCTTTCCCTTTGTGATATGGAACCTTGTAGTACAATTTCGTAAAGATCCATACACTTACACACAAGTAATTGTCATGAAACTAGAAAAATGCTTGTTTTTTGCCCCTTTTTGGCCCCTAATTCCTAAAATTTTGAGGCAATTGAAATACATGAAATTGTACTACAAGGTTCCATATCACAAAGGGAAAACTGGAATTGAGTTTGGGGGTAATTGCCCAAAACGTTTAGGAATTTGGGGCCAAAAAGGGGTAAAAAACCAAGCATTTTTCTAGTTTCAAGACGATAATTTGTGTTCAAGTGTATGGATCTCTCTGAAATTGTACTGCAAGGGACCATACCATAAAGGGAAGGCTGGGATTTAGTTTGGGGGTGATGAATCATAAGGGGGTTAAAAAAATTTGGGGGGGGGGGATTTTTTTAACCCCCTTATGATGACGACAACAACGACGAAGGAATGTAGGATCGCTATGTCTCGCTTTTTCGAGAAAAGTCAAAGGCTCGACTAAAATCATATTGCCCAGTATTACCCATTTCTGGGAGTATTGGCCAGCAGGGGAAAACCTGGACCTGGGTAATACTTTGCCAACCCTGTAGGGAACATGTGTACTAAGTTTCAAGTTGATTGGACTTCAACTTCATCAAAAACTACCTTGACCAAAAACTTTAACTAAAAACTTTAACATGAAGCGAGACAGACGGACGAACGGAAGGACGAACAGACAAACGGACGCATAGACCGAAAAACATAATGCCCCTAAGTGGGGCATAAAAAAAGTATTGCCAAACTTGTTTTCTTGCTATAAGTAAAAAATGAAAATTTCATAAACATTCCTTTATAAAAATGTTACTACAAGAGTTATCTTCCCTTATATTGCTAAGTTGAAAATTGAATCGAACAAATATTTGGTATTTGTTAAAACATTCTTAATAATACTATTAATTGCTTATTTTTGGTTTGTTTAAATAAAGTCTTGCACGATAATTGCCAATCTATCTCTAAACATGCAGATTTAAGCAAAGAACTAGACTGACTAAGAACTGCTATTTTACAATCCAAGATGGCAGTATACAGTTAATCTACCTTAAGAAAGGAATAAAAGAAAGGCAAAAGATACCAGAGGAATATTCAAACTCATAAGTCGAAATCAAACTGACAACGCCATGGCAAAAAATTAAAAACGACCAAAAGCCAAACAACAGTTCACTAAACACAACATAGAAAACTAAAGACTGAGCAACACAAACCCCACCAAACACATGTTCAGGTACTCCGGAAGGGTAAGCAGATCCTGCTCCACATGTGGCACCTGTTGTATTGCTTATTTAAGTACAAAATATGTAAAATCTGCTATGAGACAAACACAAATTATAGATGCCCTTGCATCATTTGTTGCTGGTGACTTTGTTAGTGGTAGACAGTAAATATTTTAGACATTTAATGGAAAAAGTCAATTCGAAGAACCAAGGGCAGAGTAGGAAACATCTATCCTCCAAAAGATTGAAGGAGTGATGATGGACAGGCAAACGAGCAGTTCCTAGGCATAACTTGTTAAACACTGCATGTTGTATAAAAGTTTCATTGTAGCAATTTATCCTTTATGTTACATTGCAGACGAGACAAAAAATTATTAAGCGGAAAATCAGAATCATTTGATGTACATTCGTGTTACTGTAACAATGGCTGCAAGTGAAAAAAATCAAAATATCTGGTTTACAGAAAACAATGTTCCTTTGAAAGAATATATGAATAGTCCACAATTTTATGTCAATCTATTCAATTCACTTCACTTCTGAAGTAATAAATCATATAAGTCTTCAAAATTGTTTAATTACGAATGAAAAATTGGGGTTTCATCAAAATGGGAAATACCCCTTGACCAGAGCAACCTTTATAGCAATATAGTATGGTGCTTTCTGTTAGATTTTATACTATAATGTATTATAGGTACAGTGCTATGAATTTGGGAAAACAATGCTTTTCAATCCTGGCCATGGTGCTTATTGAAAATTTGGGGAGAAAACTGAGAGTGCCAAGTGAACTTGAATAGAGTTCAAAGACAATCAGAATGATAAGCAAAATAGCATCACTGACACAGTTTCATAAGATAGCTAACTTTTACCTGTGCAGGACATATAGCTTCACATAATTTGCAGGCAATACATCTCTCTTCTCCTGAAGGATATCTTCTTAAAGCATGTTCACCTCTGAATCTTGGACTTAATGGCCCTTTTTCAAAAGGATAATTTATAGTCGCTGGTTCCCGAAGAACACCAGATACTGCTAAGCTCAGTCCTAAAAAGAGAAAAAGGTCCTAGTATTGGCTAACTTAAAAAATAATCATCCAACCTTCCAACATCAGTATAAAATCATCCTATGAAAGAAGTATGGTGTTACCAATGTACTGGTAGTAATGCATCTTCATACAAAATATCATTGATCTATCAAAAGTACTTCCTATCAAACTAACTTAAGCAGAAAACTTAACAATTGTTGTTGCCGTCATGGCCATCCCTATGTCTCGCTTTCCTAGACTTTCGTCGCAGGCGAGTCAATAAAAGTTAAATTTAACAATTTTCGTATCATATGATAATCTGGCGCAATAACTACAGGGTCACCGTCATAATAATCCAATTCTAGCATAGCATGCATGAAACGGTTTGTTTTCTTAGTCACCAAATTGAGATTAGCTTTGCAGTTCAACTGGCCTGAGAAAATCCAACTTGCCAGAGAAAATCCAACTGGCCAGAGAAAATCCAACTTGCCCACTTGGTGAGTACTTTACCTTTGAGAAAGTTTTTCACACACATTATCAAAGTCATATGTCGATATGAAACTTCTAATTCAAAATAAAAATTGAATATGTTCGATACACTTTAATGGCTAAGTTTTACTACAAAACAAGTGTACGTGAATTTTCTGGTAAAAGAAAATCTTTTGTATTATCAAAATCTTCATAAATGTACTGCTATTGAATTATTGTCTACCCGTACACTACTTTGTTGATATTTTCCCTTATGCAGTGACCTTAACTACGAGACCTCTTATTAGCAAATCAGCCACCATGCACACAGTGCAAATGCGAGGGGAAAACCGTGATGAAAGAATGTAAACAAACATGCACTGGGAGGAAGGGAAAAAATGCAAAAAAAATTCAAAAATTATCACTTAAGGGCAATAACTCCAATAACAAAGACAATGCAGATTTCGTCCATTAAGCTTATTTGAAGATCTTGTACTGCTGATCATTTGTGCTATTTAAAGTTTCTATCTATCTAATAACATTTTTCAAGATACTGTAAATTCAGAAATTATTGCGAGGTTTTTATTAATGCGAATTATGCCACTGGGTGAGTATCGCAATAATAAGAACTCACATTCTGATATCTGATGCATATATCTGTATGCAGCTTTTCCTTAAATCACAAAAATTATTCTCACATTTTTGTCCATTCTTCAAAAATCGCAATAATAAATGCACGCAATAATTTCTGAATTTACAGAAATAGGCAAAAATGGGAAAATCAAAGTGCTTGTAAGCACTGAAGGGTAAAGATTACTTAAATTTATCAGTGGAAGTAAAATTAAATATTGCATTGTATAAAGCATTAGTTGTGCAGTTCTGGACAAAGGAAGATAACTCCAATTTTTAAAGATGACTAACAATGACATCATTGATATTTTTAGAACAGATATTAGATTCCTGTACCTTGCAGAAGTTATATAATTTTCTTGACAAGTATAACATCATTTTGTAACTTGAATATCTAAGCATATATTTCGTTGATAAATTTCTGGAAATGTTCATGGATAGGATGTATAGAATGTTATGATCAATGCACTATATTTTGTGTATCTAAAAAGTAGTGATAAACCTTGGAAGATTTAGATATCAAGTCAGTCCCATAGGGTTTTGATTGCATTTCATGCAATCTTTACCCAAAAATGAGAAAAATCGTCATTAAAAGGCAATTACTTTAATAAGGAGTCGATTAAAGATATCGGTCATGTTGACTTATCTGTAGATCTTGTCTTTCTGATAATTTTTGCTTTTTAAAGTTTCTATCTATATATAAATTATAGTTTTTAAGATATTAGGCAAATATGCAAAAAATTGGTAAAATTGTCATTAAGGGGCAATAACTCTAAAAATGAGTCGACTGAAGACTTCTTCCCACTTACAATGACTTACTTATTTGTAGATCCTGTTTTTCTGATAAATTTTTCTTTTTAAAGATTCTATCTGTCTATTATCATGATTATAGTTTTAAAGTTAAGATATTCATGATATATGGCAATAACGAAAAAAATTAGTAAAAATCGTCATTTAAAAGGGCAAAAACTATAAAAAGAGAGTATATAAAGAGTCGTCTGACTATCTTGATTATTTGACTTGTCTGTAGATCTTGCCTTGCTGATCATTTTTGCTATTTAAAGTTTCTTTCTATCTATTATAATTTTCGAGATAATAGGCAAAATTTTTTTTCAAAGTGATGGAAATCACTCATGGAAAGATTGGAAGAGTAGTTTGAATAATTTCAAATTATATTTAGGACTATAAGGTATGGTGTGGACAAAAAAGAACATTAATATGGCACTGTTACTGACAATTGAATTAGCTGCAGGTCTTCAGAAGGATAAGCACTTTTTCAGTAGATAAAATGAGCTAAATGAAAATCAATGGTAAAGGGTCCCTTAATTTGCACAACAGTTTCGTTTAAATTGCAATTTCATATCTTAACCAAATAATCTCCCTGTTACATGTTTCACCTTTTTACGTTTTATCTTTAGAAACAGTAGAAATTACCAAATAAAGATTCGATCTTCTAATAAAGTTTATCAATTATCCTTGTAGGACATGGGACCAACAGATAGACTTGAAAGCAGAAACTAAGATCTTTATTGTCTCCAAAAAATAATCTAAAAATATTGTTTTGGGGGCATTTTGTAAGTTGAAACATATAGGTATACTATTTTTCTCCTCTAAGAATTGCTTATTGATTTTGAAAACAATCATAATGATTATATGACACTGAAGATTAAAAGTTGTAGAGTGTAATTCAATTTATAATCTAATATTTTCCAGAAAAGGGCATTAAAAATGTACTTTTTCAACATATAAAATAAAAAAAAAGATCTTGTTAATCCTTAATCATTTTTCTTTCAGACATAATTGATAGAATCATTTTATGTAGTGTAGATCTAAAGTAATAGGCAATAAATAAGATGATGATGGGAGTTTTTAATGACCTTGACTGGCTATACAGCCCTCGCATGGTCGGCCCTGGCTTGCGCCTTTTTGGGCATTTAAATAATTTGTTTTTACCATAAGGTAGTTGAAATAATTTGATGAATGATGCAATGAATAAGTCTATCATTTCTATATATATATACCTAAATTTTGTGTATTCAATAATGAGGTCATGTGATTGTGTACTTGAGATGTATAATGAAGGGTCTGTTTAATTATGTCAGACTGAGGATGATTAGTAATATGGTCAATATGATTGGCACTTTCTGTGAAGCAAATGAAAGTTTTCCACAGAGTCATCTCCTCTTGGTCAAGGTATTTAAACTTTTGTCAGTTCACTTGTCATGCTTGTCACATTGAATAAATAAAATAGTTATTGTTCTCTGTGTAGTTTACTCACTAGGACCTTTAAATTCTCATTGATTGATTTAACTGAACAAAAATATTATCTTCTTAGTAGATGAAAATACATGTATCTATTCTCAAAACTGCATGTGATGTTGTATTTATTCAATATCAATAATATATTTTTCAATCTGTTCAATTTAAACACATATTTAAACTTAAAAAGTTGATTTCTGACAAAATTTTAGAATTGTTCCTATTGAAATTTGCATTTTTTGTTGTTGTTTGTTTCGTTATAGAATACATTTAAGAAAGCCTTAATTTAAACATCATCATTTTCCAGTTTTTATTTGTCAAACACACAAAAAAACAAATTTCAATAGGTACCAATCTTGAAAATTTTGTCAACTTTTATATAATGTTTGAATCAGTGTTTATATTGAACAAATTATAAAAGTATTCTTGATATTGAATAAATACAACAACACATGCATTTTTTTTTTGTGTCCTTATTTAGTATTGGTACATGTATTTTCATCATTGAAAGTTAAATTTTTTGTTCAGGTAAATTAATCAATGAATGATGGATTTCTCTTATCATGCTTATAGTATATAGTGTGTGATAACATTTTGTGAGGGAATTCGATGTTTGCTATACCACGGTTCATTTGAACACACTATGACAATACCACAAAACCAATCCGAAAGAATCTTTTTGCAGCGTTTTAAGAAATGATTTTACTTTGTATCCATGTATTATTTGTGAAACAATAAATGTTTTAAAAGGGCGAATTTTCTGTATAAAATCAATAGTTATGAAGACTTTTGAAGCCCAAACTTTCTATTGCTTTAAATACACGTCAAATGAAAGTTCTGAAATCTATACCAATACAGAACGACATGTTTTTGAAATTATAGCAAAACTTTTGGTTGACAAATTTTTTTAATCGTTATTGCAAGAAATGAACTTAAAATATCTGTCATTTTCTCCCTACCCAGTTTACCCCTATTACTTATTATGATGTGGACCGGTCATTGTTTTTGAATCTTACGCAATTTGATTGGATTAAGTTAGTATTAGTTTACCTTCAAACTGTTTCTTTTTTCATACGTGTATATTGATTAGAATCAGAACGTGCATGAATGTGTACAGTAACTTAAATGACCTTCAAACTGGACAAGTCCATATTATTTTTTATCAATGAAACTAAAGGTATAAAAGGTAAGATTTGCCACTTCTAATATTTTCACAAAATTTTCCACATATAGAGTAGATAAGTTATTTTTTAATAGCCTATTCCAGAGAAAAAGTTTACAAATCAGACGTTTTATTCCATTAAACAAGTCATTTTTCGAAGAGAAATGCGGAAATACATTTTACACACGGCTACGCCAGGTAAAATTATTGTTTATATATCTTAACAAAAAAAAACATTTTTAATATTTAAATTACAAATAATCCCAGATAAAAGTAGTCAGTAAGTAAAGTCAAAATATGTCCGATCTGCCTATTTTTGGACATCAAAATCCAATACAAATGCTATTAGGTCAATTTCTTCTACCTCAGTCTCAAAATCTTGTTAGGCACTATAGAAGAAATTTAAAGGTCCCATTGAATAAACTCCACAGAGAACAATAGCTATTGTATTTATTCAATGGGACAAAAGAACTTACAAAAGTTTAAATCAACAGGTAACCTTCAAGTGAATCTTTGGAAAAGTATCATTTCTTTTGCAATAAGGAGGTGGAACATTGTCATTAAGGCCCCACCTTGTCTCTGATTCTTTGGTTATAATGGCAGTTGTCAATCATACTGGTATTGTATCATTATGATTACTCTTACCTAATTAAAATGACAAAATTAAATAGCCTGCAAATTGACAAAACTTATAGACATATATACTTGAATAAAATGCTCTTCATGAACAGTTCATGTGTGTATATGTACACATACATGAGAATTAAAGGGAGCTATATTTCAGTGTGTAAACATTTTCTAGATTTAGAAGCTAACCTGTGCTACTTCTTGTTTGGGAGGCCAGTGCCTAAGGAAAGACTTGGAACAACAGTTCCAAATCTTTCCAAAAACGGTATAATTCATCATTCAAGGGCAATATCTCATATAAGAAGTGGTTTGACAGTTTTGATGTAAACAGACAATAGGTTGAGCTCAACATTCTGAACGTTTTTGCCAATGTCAGATTTTCTCTATTAAAAGCAGTTTTCAAAATAAAAGTCAAAACTTGTATTTTACCCCTATGTTCTATTTTTAGCCATGTCAGCCATCTTGGTGGGCTGGCCAGGTCATCAGACAAATTTTTTAACCTAGACACCCCAATGATGATTTTGGCCAAGTTTGGTTAATTTGGCCCATTAGTTTCAGAGAAGTTTTTTGTAAAAGTTAACAGACAACGATGACAGACGATGAACGCCAAGTGATGAGAAAAGAATCTATCAATTCACTTATTTATCACGTGCTCCACATGATCTGTGTTGATTATTTATCAATGTCACAATCCGGAAAACTGTGGCAACAAACTCGAAAGTTAATTAGCTTGAAATCAACAATCACTGAAGGAAATATTATTTATCGATATATAATATACATTATAGAATTGTAGTAAATATAAAAAACATGCATACAGTTTGTATATGTTTCATATGACTTTAATGACAATGATTATCACTGAATGCAAATCACAGATATTTTCTAGTCAGGTATATCTTATTTAATTGAAAACTTTTTGACCAAAGGCTTTTTTCAGTTCTTCAGTTTCTGGCTTTTTTGTTATTTTTACTGTTTCTTTCTTTTTAAAGTTATTTAACCCTAAAACTTTTTCCTTTTGTAATATCATTGCCTCTAGATGAACTTTTTGAGCATTCAGAAAAATTAAATGAATATTAAGCTGCAACTGTGCCAAAAGCACATGATACGCCTGCCGCCAGGATTATTGAAAGTGTTGCAAGAATAAAATGGAGTATTTAAAAGACTTTTAATCAGAAGGTAAAATGGCTCTGTAGAAAAACATGCATCAGGATACCCTTGGGCAGAGAGGTCTGGGTGGGGTTTACAGAAATTGAGAATGGCAAAAAAAATTGATACAGAATAAACTGCTTCGCTGAGCGCAGCTGGATACGCCCGCAGAGGTCCAACCCTGAACAGTTGGGGCAAAAATGGACACAATATTCAAGCTTGATACAGGTCTGAATTTGGATTGTAATTAAATATTTGACATATTATAGGTTTCTGAATAAATGTAGTCAAAGAACTTGAAATTGGTTATATGAATTGAATTTATATTCAATTAAAGATTTCTTGCTGTTGTGCAATACACTGTGCTGTTGCGCAATACTAGTAAATCTGTTGTCAGACTATAAACAAATAAAGTTCAATAACTTCTCAATGTTATATTAGAAATTTATAAAAAAAACTAAAGGGAGGTTATCTTAATAGATATATCAGTCATCAAAGTTTAATGAAAACTGCTCTAAGCACTTTAAGGATATTGTCCAAAAACTTGAAAATCACCCCTTTTTTATGAATAAAATCTTGTAACTCGGAAACATAAAATCTAAAATTTATAAAAATCAAAAGGGAGCTTACAACAATAGATATAAACAATTTACCAAAGTTTCATAAAGAATGCTGAAAGCATTTTTGAGTTATTGTCCGAAAACTGGAAAATCCCCCTTTTTGTAACGAATAAAACCCCATAAATCAGAAACGTATAGTCTAAAATTTATAAAAATCAAAAGGGAGCTCATGTCGATAGTATTAAACAATTCACCAAAGTTTCTTGCAAATTGGTGAAATTGTTTTTGAGTTATTGTCCAAAAACTGGAAAATCCCCCCTTTTTTAATGAATAAAACTCCAAAATTCTGAAACGGTAAATCCAAAATTTATAAAAAACGAAAGGGAGCTCACGTCAATAGATATAAACAATTCACCAAAGTTTCATGCATATTGGTAAAAGCGTTTTTGAGTTAATGTCCGACATGTTGACGACGGACGGACGGACAGACGGACGGTCAACGGTATACCATAATACGTCCCGTAAACGGGCATATAAAAATGAGCCAAAAAATTAAGAATAGAGAATAATGGGGTGAAAATGTGTCAAGAATAACTGTTGAAAATAAAAGAATAGGTAATACAATACTGATACAGAAATAAATGATGTACAGAATAAAGAAATTATATAATTACACATACATTTAATAGTAAAATAATTTTCATGAGAATATAAAAAAATATAGAAATATAACCCTTATAAAAAGTAGTCAGAAAGTTTTGACGTACATGTAAATGGACAGTAGATAGATCTCATTGTTCTGAATATTTCTGCCCCCTTTAGATTTTCTTGTCTTTTGGGGTTTTCAAAATGATATAACTTACATTTTACCCATTTTGTTCTATTTTTAGCCATGTTGGTTGACAGGCAGGATCATTTGACACATTTTTAAACTAGATACCCCAATAATGGTTCCAATTGGCCCAGGAGTTTCAGAGGTGAAGATTTTTGTAAAAGTTAATGGACGACAACAGACACCAAGTGATGAGAAAAGCTCACTTGACCCTTTGGCCATGTTGACTTATTTGTAGATCCTGTCTTGCAGATCAGTTTTTCTCTTTTAATTTTCTGTCTGTTTATTATGATTTTCACGAAAATAGGTAAAAATGAAAAAAAAAGGTTAAAATTCCTTATTTAATTACAATAACTCTTATAAGAAGTTGTCTGACAGTTGTGTGGTAAATGGCCAGTAGGTAGAAATAAGTTATGAGTGAAACTTTCAATTATAATGGAAGGACCACCAAATTTTGAGGGACTAGCAAAAGTTTGAACCCTATCAGTCATTGGTGTGACAAATAAATGAAGTTTTGCAAACTCTGCTTTTTTTATTCAATTTTTTAGTGAATGAATGCATGTAATTTCATAAAAGTAAAATGTTATCATCATTGTTCATGAAAAGAGAAAAAAAATCGGACTTTTATTATCTTAAACAGACTAGATATGAGGCCAAAAATAAAATTTAGATTGTTTGATGTTGCCTACCTACCAACCTAAAAAGCAGACTACCCGAAAAAATTTATGACACAAATCGGTTCAAATTTTTTTAAAAAAGATTTCCTGCTCTTATGTTGTTTTCTTGTCTAAAACATGTAACTTATGTTGTTGGCAAAAAAAAAATAAAATCCCTACCTACCTACCCAACCCTACAAGGCATGGTTAGGCAACATCAAAAAAAGATCTTTTTAAGGTCGGCCTGACAATTAAGAATTCCCTTATGTTATACCGTTAGACAGACTACTATGTATACTCACTATAGCTACATATCAGTTCTGACATACAGAATTCTCTCAGGTTATAATCCTAATACTATGTACATGATGTATACCCACCACCTATCAGATCTGACATACAGAATTCCCTCAGGTTTTAATTAAACAACATGTATACTCACCAATATCAGATCTGACATAAAGAATTCCCTCAGGTTTTAAATAAGACTACATGTATACTCACCACATTTCAGATCTGACATACAGAATTCTCTCAGGTTAAAAACAGACTACTATGTACATTGTATACTCATCATCAATCAGATCTGACATAATGAATTCCCTTAGGTTATATACAGTATTCTATGTATACTTAAACCACCAATCAGATCTGACATAAAGAATTCCCTTAGGTTATAAACAGATTTCTATGTATACTTACCACCTATCAGATCTGACATAAAGAATTCCCTTATGTTATAGACAGACTTCTATGTACACTTACCACCAATCAGATCTGACATGAAGAATTCCCTCAATTTATAAACAGACTACTATGTATACTCACCACCTATCAGATCTGACAAAGAAATTCCCTCAGGTTATAAACCGACTAATATGTACATTTACTTCATTGTATACTCACCACCTATCAGATCTGACATAAAGAATTCCCTTAGGTTATAACTACTGATTTCTGACATGTCATCATCAGGAGTTGGTATTTTCTCACTTACATCCTCTGGAAAAAAGTAAACATAACACTTAACATGACTAAATAAGAGTATTAACTTTGCCACTTGTCTGTCGTAAGTCTATTTATAGACTGACCCCTTGTCCCTTGGGTCAGGCATGCACAGTTATTCCCCCCTAGCAAAAAGCATGCCATACTGGCCCTTGGTGACAGATATGGCAGAGTGACTCGGGCAAGTTCTATTGACTTTTATGACAGTGGCATAGTTATGTTCTAAAAAAAAACAAAATTCAAAATTTTTTAATCTGATCAAAATTCAACAAATTGGGTGAACCAGCTTCAACAAAAGGACCAGTCTAATGGAAAAGATCAAATTCTACAACATAATTGTCATAAGATAAGTACATTAGTCTTATTTTTTTCAGTCAGATTTTTATAAGTTTAAAAAAGCAGACATTCAAGAACTGCTATTTACTTGAGTCAGCTTTCATAGCTCATTTTGTATAATAATTTTTTTTTCTTAGTTGTAAAGAATGGCTATCTGTGTTATTGAAGCATTAAGGCTTATCAAATATTCATTTAGTTTCAGATCTGTAATGTACATGGTGAAACAATGGCTCGTAGAAAATTTAAGAAAGGATGGTGCTATGGACAACCAAGATGTGCTGCCTTATCTCCAATCACAGATCAAGAGCCAGATTTTGAGTTCACAGCCTCATTGCAAAGAAACCTTATAAATCTAACTATTGAAGATCAATCAGAAAAGTGCTTAATAGACAGTGGCGCTGCCTTCAGCTGCATCAGCAAACATGTGCTTAAGAAAGTTAAACCTAATGCTAAAATTCAAAGATCCTCATTATTCAGTGCTGTTGGAGTATGTAGTGATCATGAAGTACATCCAATATTAGGAGAAACTGTGCTACAATTAACTTTTGGAAAATTTGAATTCCTTAAAAACAATCTAATCACAGCTCCAATCCTAACATTTCCGAAAATGGACAAACCTTTTATTTTATCAACAGACGCTTCAGAACATTCAATGGGTTACATATTAAGTCAAATTCAAGACGAAAGAGAACATGTCATCGCTTATGGTGGAAGAACATTAAGAGGCTCAGATATTAAAGTGGCACATAACAGACAAAGAGGCATTAGCACTAGTTGAAGGAATTCAGCATTTTAGACACTATTTAGCAAATCAGGAATTTCTTGTTATAACAGACAATATTTCAGTGAAATATCTTCAAAAGATCAAAGATTGCAATGGACGTTTAGGCAGATGGAGCCTTCTCCTTCAACCATACAATTTCAAAATTCAGCATCGTTCAGGAAATAAGAATCCAGCAGATTTTCTTTCTCGTCAAGATCATCCAAATACAGAACCAGAACATTCAAGTGAATTATCAGAACATTTATATTCAATAAGTGAAAATCAAAAGGAATACACAGAAGCAACATTATTTTATGGAGGTGAAAATGTGGACTCAATCATTTCTAGTTTGAACAGCATTCAACATATTCAAGGGATTAATAACATTGTGCTACCAAATCTAGCAACAGAGCAACAGAGGTGTCCTGATATTATTGATATCATCCAGTACAAACAGTTTGGACAAGTACCCGTAGACCCAGCAAAAGCAAGGACTATAGTCGCTGAATCGTATAACTATGAAGTAGAAGATGGCATTCTGAAGCACTTCTACTCCAAACGTTGCAAAAAGGTTCCAAAAGATGAAAGACTTGTCAAACAAATTGCTATACCAAAGGTTTTGCGGGATGACCTACTTAAGTCCTATCATGATTGTATTGCTGGAGGTGGACATCAGGGATTTGAAAGGACATATGCAGCTCTCCGTAATAAATACTTTTGGCCATCTATGTATAGTGATATCAACACATATGTCAAAACTTGTGAAACTTGTCAACAATCAAAGCGTGCTTTTAATGCAAGACCTCCTCCTTTGCAACCGCAGCAAACTCATGATGTTTTTCAGAGATGGCATATTGACATATTAAGTGGTCTACCAACGACAAAGGACAAATTCAAACATATTTTATTAGTAGTGGACAGTTATTCGAAATGGTGTGAGGCATTCCCTCTTCGAACTCAAGAAGCAAAAGAAGTTGCAAATGTTTTATACAAAGAGATCATTACACGTTACGGTGCACCTCGTATATTAATATCAGATCGTGGAAAAACATTTGTCTCGAATATTGTAAAAGCTTTATCAGAACTATTTAACATCACTAGACATTTAACCAGCTCATACCACCCACAGACAAATGGATCAGTAGAACGTATGAACTCTGTTATACTACAAGCTTTCCGTGCTTATACTAAAGACATGCAAGATGATTGGATTGATTATTTACCAGGAATTATGATGGCATACCGAGCAACACCAGCCACTCAATCCACAGACTATTCTCCATTTTTCTTATTGTATGGAAGGGAGATGTCATTACCAATAGACACTTCATTAGTACCAAAGGATCATTTAACACAGGATAATAAAATATTTTTGGCCAGAATTCTTCAAAATTTAGAAACAACTAGAACAATAGCTGCAAAGAACATTGACCTTGCTCAGCAAAAATATAAACAAAATTATGACAAAAGAACAAAAGATCCAGAATTTAGACCAGCACAACGTGTTTGGCTATACTGCACAAAAGTTCGAGTTGGAAAAGCTCCAAAACTACACCGTAAGTGGGTTGGGCCATACTATATCACCAGATTTGGTCCACATCATACCTATAAACTAAGGAACTGTGCAACAAATAAAGAAGTAAAATCCTTGGTTAATGTGCAAAGACTTAAACCGTATCATGATCCAGAAGAGAGACCTACAAATATTCCGAATGATATGGAAAACAACATGGATGAACATGATCCGGATGAACTAGATGACCAACCAGACCCTCCTATACCTCAACCTAACAACAACAACCAGCAAATTCAAGAAGATCGAACAGATAGGAACAATGAACAGGTAGATCAATCAGAGAATCAAGATAATAACAATGTCCCAGATACTCAACCAACTTTAGTCAGAGGAAATAATGCACCAGTAAAAGACACAAGGCCATCATGTAAGGATTGTGACCGAGGAAACTGCAAACCATTCAGTGAACATGAAATAGATTCTATTGTATCATCTGCAAGAGGAAATGGCACTTTATACTATAAAATAAAGTTTACAGAAAAGACCAGAAAAACAGATTGGTATTTCGCATGCAAAATTCCATGCAGGTTAGTTAGAGAATTTCATGCAAAACGTACTATGGGTGGCAAAAAGAGAAAACGTCCACTTCAGAAACACAAATTCTTCAATAAACCTGATGAAAACGTTAGTCATATTGCTCAGACAAAACTAACCAAAGATTCAACGACTCAAACAGAATCAGAAACTGATATATATATAAATTCAATGGACAACTGTGATAAAGAAAAATTAATTTCTGTCAGATTTTTCCAAAACAAAGCTTATTTTTTGGTACAACAGCACAACAGACAGACATGGCAACCAATTACAATAGCTAAAGATCATGCAGCTACATTCATAGAAACAAGAAAACAAGCATTTAGAATTCATAAGCATGAACTGCATATTCAATAAACATGCAACACAAGTTTAAATATGGAGACAAGAAACCCTTCATCGACGGACCAACAACAGAGGGAATTTTTGAAGTGTACATCAACAAAGATGGCAAGGATGAATTTCTTATAGGTTACAAAAACAAGAATATACCTCCAGAATGGGTAACAATTGATGATACTCCTAATGGATTAATGAATATCCTTTTAAATGACCTTGAATGTCAATATAATGATGAAATAAGTCCTCCTCAGTAATATGTGTAGATCAACTTTTTATATGTCTTAAGCATGTGTTAAGGTAATAACCCTCAGCAATGTGTATTATTTGTATCGGAGATCAGCTCCTCATTTTATTTTGAACTGGCCTGGAGATAAGCTCCTCATTATATTATTGTATCGGAGATCAGCTCCTCATTGTATTTTTTTTGGTATCGGAGATCAGCTCCTCATTGTATTATTGTATCAGAGATCAGCTCCTCATTGTATTTTTTTTGGTATCGGAGATCAGCTCCTCATTGTATTATTGTATCGGAGATCAGCTCCTCATTGTATTTTTTTTTGGTATCGGAGATCAGCTCCTCATTGTATTATTGTATTGGAGATCAGCTCCTCATTGTATATTTTTTGGTATCAAAGATCAGCTCCTCATTGTATTTTTTTTGGTAACGGAGGTTAGATCTCCTCATTGTGTGTTTAGGGACTGGGGATCAGTCAGTCTCATTTCATTTAAAGGACCACAAGTCAGTCCTTACTATATATTTTTTTTTCAAATGTCTTATGTATATATTGCAGGTATACAATCAATTTATTGTTGGATGTCCATGTACATAGTTACTAAGATAATCAATCATATCAATATTTTTGTATTGGTCAATTTGTTATTTTATCATTTGGTTGATCATTATCAAGTATGGTCTCATCACCCAGACTTTGTAACTGATCATGTACTAAGTAAGCCTGATGAACTTATTTCAGTACTTCCAAAATTATTTTCAAACATCTTTTAAAAATTGGGTTTCGCATAGTTCAAAGACTTAGATTTTATATTTTTAGATGTATATACATGTTATTTTGTTTGCATATCTTTATGTTCATTTATAGAATAGATATTTATGTAATGTTTGAGGACAAACATTTTTGAGTGGGGGGAAATATGTCATAGGTGCATTTTCCCTTTCAGGTTTTAAAAAGTATTAATAATTTTTAGTACTTTTATCATTTTTCTAATTTCATATTCTAATTTTGAATCTTGAATAAGTTTGTAATCAAAAGATTGTTTTCGATTAGGATTATATTTATTTACAGTTTTCTTATTTAATTTTCATTGAACTTATCTTAATTTAATTACCTTCAAACTAATTAGAAATATTTGAATATGTCACATATGTTTTTGAGAATTACAGTAATTGTTCAATTTGTTAATTAGACAGACAGATGTCATTTGATAATTCATTTTTAATCCTTTAATTAATTTACTATTCATATTTTAACTTTGTCTTTTCATGTTATTGCTCGAATCAATTAGAAATTTACTTGTCACATTAAGCTCTTTTCAGTCTTGGTATAAATAGATTGTAGAAATTTTAATACTTCACTAAGTCACAGTCACCGTTAAAGTAGGGAACCATTACAACAGTTAGAAGCGTGAAGGAGTTGGAGTGATCCTGCAGAGTACCGTCTTGTTCCAGTCTTGGTTATTCAACGATCAGTAACAAAAGATTGCCTATCAATCATCTGAAACATTGGAATGCCATCAACCCGACAACAAAGGAAAGACCAACAACTCATCGGATCAAGACCTTCAATCCCAGATCCAGTTCTATCTAAGGAATATAACTATTTGGACAATTTCATCTTACAAGTGCATTTCGGACAATTCCAGCTAGTGATTCTACAAAAGTGATTAGACAATTCTTAAGAACAGTGACATTTAAATTCTTTAGTGCATTTGTTTTAATTAATTGGATTTATCTTTGGCATATATTGTTATTTATTAAATTGTTAAACGTTTTAGAGTATTAACTTTGCCACTTGTCTGTCGTAAGTCTATTTATAGACTGACCCCTTGTCCCTTGGGTCAGGCATGCACAGTTAGTCCCCCCTAGCAAAAAGCATGCCATACTGGCCCTTGGTGACAGATAACCCATGCCCCTTAAGATAGTCCATAAACTGCATATCTATTGAGAAAAAAACATTTTAATTTCCAGGGTTCAAAATACTGTGGATCTAGGGACAACTCTCCATGTACTATTATTGCTATTTTTCTCCTGAATATATGTGTAATAATTCCTATTGGGATACCATCTTGATACCAACTTTTTGAAAAAATCTATTTTTAGTAACAGTGTGATCTTTGAAATGTTGACCCTAAAATCAATAGGCTTCTTCCCTTTTCCTAAAATATCTTACATCTTTTTAAGGTGTATTCCAATCAAGCAAGATTGGGATGGCTTTCAATTGAATCAATATTTTTCAAACATACAAGTTATACAAGTTACATGTTTTACAGTCAGGGTAATACTTATACAAGTGTATTCTATTTACTGGTACAGGTAAATTATTTAAATGGTATAGTTATCTCCCTTAGACATTCAGATGTTTTTTTACCTATACAAGTAAAACAAGTTGCTTTCTTTAAAAAAAGAAAAGCAATACGTGAACCTAACACTGCTGACTGGTCACCAAAAGATTGTTGCTGAATTTTTGTTTGCTTTTGAATTGAAATAATTGACTGTGAATAGAAGATAATGACGAATTTAAACTACCTTTATTAAAAATATGTATAATAGTGTGTACATTCTTGCACAAGTCAGTTGAAAGCAATGTTGGATAGGTGTGAATAGAAAAGTGTATATGCAGCTACTATTTGAATATATATTTTAAAGCTCAACTATTTCATTTATTACTTGGGATTGTACATCATTTTTTTATAATCCTATTGCAAATCCCGGTTATCTACAAACTGGATGTATAGTGCAAATTGCACAAACCAATCGCAATATAAATTTAAGCAATCAGTTTGCTTTATAATCTGGATGCATTTATTTTATCTATCACATCTTTATATTTTGTTTCCTGCATGGATGCCTTCATATTCTAAACTCGTTATTGAAGTTGTCTGTACTCATGGTAGATGTTGTACAGATAAATTTAAAGTCCATTTTCCATGTTAAGTGAAACCCTGTGGCATGCAACTTATAAGAAGGTTTCGTATATTTTTCTTGAGAGTAACACACCAGCTTCATTTGGACCTCTTATATAGAGACTTATTTTGGTCTCATAAAACATTTCAAATTTTAAGGATTTCCTGATTTTACTTAAATCAATCCAAATATTCTATAGGGAAACTTGGTTTTGAAGAATATCTTATTTTCAGAAGTGTTATGAATATCTGAACATACTCTCAAAAAAATCAATTTATATAAAAAGACATGTAGATATAAAAAGATACCAGGATTAGATATAAGAAGATGTGGTATGAGTGCCTATGAGACAACATGTTTTACGTCAGACGTGAGTTTAGTCTACAAAGAATCATCAGTGACGCTCGAATAAAAGTAGTTAAAAAGGCCAAATAAAGTACGAAGTTAAGTAATCTATTCCTTGGGTAGAAAATCCTTGGCATTTCGAAAATGTCAAAGTTTATCAAAGGATAGTGATTCAAAAAAGAAAACAAAAGAGAAACAGCAAGAGGTCAGAATACCATAAGCAATGATGACCGAGCTTGAAAGTCACATGGCAAGCTCTTATTGCCGTGTCCTGAATTTAGATAAGAAAAGCGAAAATTCGCATTCGCGAGTGAAATTAATATTTATGCATGAACGTGGTACTTTGGTGCAAGAAATAGTAAATTGAAAGCATATGCACTGATATTCTGGATAAGAATACGCATTTGCGTCATCACATATACTAATCTTATAGTTGAATTCGGATGTCAAACTACCTACCTCAAGTGTTTTGACTCCGGATTCATTGACATTTTATCCGGAATTTTTGTGAACGCAAACCGAAAGTGTGCGTGTGAACAGGGTGATGTATAATGTCAATGAATCAAGATGTGTAGGATAGCTGACCAACACAATGAATACAATTTTCAAAACCGTACCATAGTACAAATATTTAAATGCTATAAGCATGATAAGGTTGAACTAATAAAAGAAAGAAAAAAAAAATAACATTATGATAGTAATTAAATTTTGTTATGATTATTGTAAAATATTAATTACGTTTTTTGTGAGATGCAAGGATTTAAAATCCTTGTGAATTGAAACCATGCAAGTATTTTTTCATTCATGACCGTTTAAAATTTAGATATTTAGCTAACTTTGAGTACCCATCCCTGCTCATTGGTGCTCATACGTTACATATAATTTTCATAAATGTAATGACTGATCAAACCTGTGAGACATAATGCACGTATACATTACAATTTTAGATATATTCTATAATTATTAGGAATAAATTCAGTCTATGTTTTACCCTAACAATGAATATTCTCTTAGTCTAGTAGTACATGTATCTATTAATGAAATAAGATATTTTTTTACAGAAAAATCCTTTTGTTTGATTATCTTTCTGGTTTCCGACCACTGTGTTTCCCACCTTAGATAAATATTTTTAACAGAAATATCGTTTTCTTAATTTTTTTCATTCTTTCCGACATTTTCTCATGCTAAGATTGAAATACTAAATATCAAATGATAAACGTTCAGAAATAATCAGTTTATTCTGGGTCATTGTATATCAATAAACTATTCCCAGGTTTATTAAATACAACACACACAACACGAAAAGGGACCGTTTCAAAGCATGAATTATATAATTGCGTTATCATTATACTTGATATTTAATAAACATTCACATTATTTTGTCAAAAGGCAAATAGGTTCTAACATATAAATGATTTTTAGAATGCAACCTAGTCTTTATTGTTTTACTTTCAAATCTACAAATGAACTGTTTGCCGGATTGTTGAAAAATACATTAATTGTCACGTTGTAGCCTATCCATAGAGGAACAGTATCAAAGACATATATAACTACCTGTGCAAATGATGGAAAATTTTCTAGATGTTCCGAGAATCGTGATTCCGAGGATATCGAGTGGTCCATAGACACTTCCAATACTCGCCAATATATAAGCGTGAACCCCTCAGGGGGTTCACGCAAAAAGTCATATTTTCTTCTTTTCTTGAATTTCTCTTGACTATTTTGTTCTAATAGAGTGCTTAATTGTCTGTCCTTTGCAGATGTCTTTACTAATCATATAAGTATAATTACATGGACAATGAAACTCACATTTGTCTGTTATCTTCAAAATACTTCTCATTTACAAGCCTCCGGGGAGCAATTTTTTGAAGGCCTTGCACAGTTACTTAACATCTTTTGAGTTTGAGCAATTGATTTCTTTGTTGAATTGAGATGAAAGGTTGAACTCTAATTAAAAAATATTATCAAACCAGAGAAAATTTGTTTCAGAGTGACATTCAGACATGTTAATGATGTTTTTACCTCCCAAAACTTGAGAATTTTAGGGGTTGTTAAATAAAATTACTTATATAAGTAAATTTTTGGAGAAGATTTAGGGGAGACTATTCAAACCTTGAACATGTTAAAAAGAAAATATAAATGTTACAAATTTACTTATAAAAGTATATAATTACTTCTTCAACAATGTTCAAGTAAATAAAAATGACTTGTAGTATATATTAGTATTACTCCTGAGTGACTGTTTTATGCAATACATTTTGATGTGCTTTATATAATAACATCATTGGACAAACTGCCCACAACTCCGTACTAAACTGATACTTACTATATCCTGGTGAGATAGCTCTTGACTGGTTGATTAATACATTAGTTGGATGCAAACTTCTCCTGATTACATTTTGAGCTGAAAGTAAAATTCTAGGTTAATGTCTGCAAACTTAAATGAATAGCAGTATATATTTACAGGCATTTTCAAATTCAGTTATTTTGTAAAATGTTTTAATTTTAAGGCAATTTATAAAATGCCTAACCTTGGTGGAGGCATTATATAAAATAACTAAAAATACCAAGTCATTTTGTAAAATGACTGAAATTTTAAAACATAATTCAACAGATTGTCTGTTCAGTTTCAGGTAATTTGTAAAAAATGGTATTAAGATTCGTGACCAAAAACCCATAATAGCCATTTCATGATGACAGAAGGGCAAATTCACAAATAAAATTGCTATTGTAAAATTAATAGACATGATAGAACAAAGATTTACAAACACATTTTTAGGAAATCTAGATTAATAAAATGCTTCGCTGGGGCGCAGCTTGATACGACCGCAGAGGTCGAACCCTGAACAGTTGGGGCAAGTATGAACACAACAGGCAGATTCCATATAAGAAAGTGAAACAACTCCCATAAGCACCTTAGGCAAAAATCATAATCAATGAACTTCTGTTTTTGAATACATGCTTTACTAATAAAGATAAAGACAATTTGACAAAAAAAAAAATTATGAGCATCATCCTTTTTAAATAAACGAAGCCTTAAATATTATGTTTCTGACATAAGATTTGACAGACTTTATTGTTTCTGACATAAGATTTGACAGACTTTATTGTTTCTGACATAAGATTTGACAGACTTTATTTTTTCTGACATAAGATTTGACAGACTTTATTATTTCTGACATAAGATTTGGCAGACTTTATTTTTTCTGACATAAGATTTGACAGACTTTATTATTTCTGACATAAGATTTGACAGACAAATTGAGTTTCTGACATAAGATTTTGACAGACTTGATTCTGACATAAGATTTTTCATACATAAGATATTTTGACAGACAATATATATTTGTTTTTTTTGACTGACATTGGAAATCAAATCCTAGTTGAAAGTCATTTTTAAAACTCCTGGAAAATACTGCAGCCTAACATCTAACAAGATTTCACTACAGGTCAAAGAACTTTAACTGTTAGCACATTCAAATGTTTCAGACATAAGAAAACAAGTTTGACAGATCTTATGTAGGAAACATATAAGTTAAAACTATTGCTTAAATAAAGTTAAATGAAAGAATCAACATGTGTTTTTTCTTATGCACAGCATGACTTACAGTTTTAACTGGCATATATTGGAACCTACAATGATTTTGAAAGTTTTTACAGCGATGTTCCTGACATAAGATTTATTGACAGACACTGAGCTATAAAGCAAGATATTTGAAAATGAAAAAAATATATATATCACAGATGTTTTTGACTAAAAAAAGTAACAAATTTGGGAACAGGGATGTTTGAATAACCAGACTACACTAGTAAATACCAGTATACAAGTGTCAACATAAAGCGTTGCAATACATAAACATTGTGTAAAAAATGGGAGTTAATTCTGTCAAAATTTTTGCATTTTTTCAACTTGTTTTAATCATTTCTACTTTAAACGGAAACAATCATATCCAAAAATTATTTTTATAATTTCTTCTAACATCATTATTCCTCAAAACATTCACAGATTATCTTTAAAATAACAGTAATTATTATTTTTATTTATTTATTCATTTTGACAGACATTTCAATTTCTTATATGGAATCTGCCAACATTCAAGCTTGATACAGCTCTGAATTTGGATTGTTATTAAATATTTGACACAGCATAGGTTTCTGACACAGAAAGAATGTGGTCTAAGAACTTGAATTTTTTTAATTTACCTATTATGGTCCAATGTCCAAAATCAAAATACATGGTTAGATTCAGCATATCAAAGAACCCCATATATTCAATTTTTGTTAAAATCAAACAAAGTTTAATTTTGGACCCCAACTTGGACAAACTTGAAAATTGGGTCCATAATCAAAAATCTAAACACATGTTTAGATTCAGCATATCAAAGAACCCCAAGAATTCAATTTTTGCTAAAATCAAACTAAGTTTAATTTTGGACCCTTTGGACCTTAATGTAGACCAATTTAAAAAACGGGACTTAAAAATCTAAATACACGGTTAGATTTGGAATATCAAAGAACCCCAATAATTCAATTTTTGATGAAATCAAACAAAGTTTAATTTTGGACCCTTTTGACCTCAATATGAACCAATTTGATAGCGGGGCCCAAAAATAAAAAATCTAAATTCATGGTTAGATTCAGCATATCAAAGAACACCATATATTCAATTTTTGTTGAAATCAAAAAAAGTTTAATTTTGGACCCCAACTTGGACCAACTTGAAAACTGGGCCCATAATCAAAAATCTAAACACATGTTTAGATTCAGCATATCAAAGAACCCCAAGAATTCAATTTTTGTTAAAATCAAACTAAGTTTAATTTTGGACCCTTTTGACCTCAATGAAGACCAATTTAAAAAACGGGACCCAAATTAAAAATCTAAAAACACGGTTAGATTTGGCATATCAAAGAACCCCAATAATTCAATTTTCGATGAAATCAAACAAAGTTTAATTTTGGACCCTTTTGACCTCAATATGAACCAATTTGATAGCGGGGCCTACAAATAAAAAATCTAAATACATGGTTAGATTCAGCATATCAAAGAACCTCATATATTCAATTTTTGTTGAAATCAAAACAAAGTTTAATTTTGGACCCCAATTTTGACCAACTTGAAAACTGGGCCCATAATCAAAAATCTAAATACATGTTTAGATTCAGCATATCAAAGAACCCCATATATTCAATTTTTGTTGAAATCAAACAAAGTTTAAATACTGGACCCTATCTTGGACCAACTTGAAAACTGGGCCCATAATCAAAAATCTAAACACATGTTTAGATTCAGCAAATCAAAGAACCCCAAGAATTCAATTTTTGTCAAAATCAAACTAAGTTTCATTTTGGACCCTTTGGACCTCAATGTAGACCAATTTAAAAAACAGGACCCAAAATTAAAAACCTAAATACACGGTTAGATTTGGAATATCAAAGAACCCCAATAATTCAATTTTAGATGAAATCAAACAAAGTTTAATTTTGGACCCTTTTGACCTCAATATGAACCAATTAGATAACGGGGTCCACAAATAAAAAATCTAAATACATGGTTAGATTCAGCATATCAAAGAACCCCATATATTCAATTTTTGTTGAAATCAAACAAAGTTTAATTTTGGACCCCAATTTGGACCAACTTGAAAACTGGGCCAAAAATCAAAAATCTAAATACATGTTTAGATTCAGCATATCAAAGAACCTCATATATTCAATTTTTGCTAAAATCAAACAAAGTTTAATTTTGGACCCTTTGGACATTAATGTAGACCAATTTGAAAACTGGACCCAAAATAAAAAATCTAAATACACTGTTAGATTCGGCATAACAAATAAATAAATGTGATCAAAGATTTTACAAATCTAATGCGCCATACTGTGCAATTAAAGATTACTTCTTGAAACTTTTCAATATTTGAAATTTGAAAAAAAAATAATATTTGAAGAATAATTCTTTTTAATTTCTGAAATCTGAAATGAGAAAAAATTGGCCCCCCACAATTTCTTTTTATCCCCCCCCCCCTTTTTCCCCCAAAAAAATTCTTTCCCTCAAGATATGGTCATAATCTCAATTCAAATTTCCAATGGAGTTGGCAACCATAATTACCCATTTAAATTTACCATAGTGCTAACTTAATCTATTTTATAATAGAATTAATAAAAATATAGTGTCAAATCTTTCATATGGATTTTTTTGTAAAAAAAAAAGATGAAAACATTTGCAGATATTTTTACTGGTCTTCCTTTATAAATATGCATTTCTTTAAACATAATTTAAAAGCAGTGTAAGGGAAGTAACCAAAACGTTGTATTTGGATTACCTCCCTTACACTGTTTTAGATTATCTTTATTGTTCATTAACCATTACTTTATACATAATTTAAAAGCAGTGTAAGGGAGATAATTTCAATGATGTATTTGATTTATCTCCCTTACACTGCTTTAAATTATGTTTTGTACTAAAGTATTTGTCCATTAACCAGGACAACCTTGTTTTTCCCCCTTTTTTGCCCCTAATTCCTAAACAGTTTGAGCCATAACCCCCCAAAGCAAATCCTAACCATCCCTTTGTGGTATGGAAACTTGTAGTATAATTTCAGAGAGATCCATACACCGTTCCACAGTTATTGTCTGGAAACTAGAAAATGCTCATTTTTGGCCCCTTTTTGGCCCCTAATTCCTTAACTGTTGGTACCATAACCCCCAAAATCAATCCCAACCTTCCTTTTGTGGTATTTAACCTTATGGTCAAATTTCAAAAAGATCCATTCACTTAAACTAAAGTTAGAGTGCGAAAACCAATATGTATTCGGACGACGACGCTGGACGCTGGACGACGCCGGACGACGACGACGACGACGACGACGCCAACGTCATACCAATATACGACCACAAAATTTTTTTGCGGTCGTATAAAAACAGCAGTGTCTTAAATGGAGCTGAGAAAAATATTAAAATATCTTGATTGACTCATGGTTGTTTGTTTACATTTCAGTAGCAAATATTTCATGCATATTCAGGATTAGAACACATACATAATAAATGCAATAGGTATAAGTTCTGTAATAGATTGAACAGGATGCTGGGCAGAAATTTTGACTATCTATAGAACATGTAGTAAAGACGTTGGATAGGGACAGAAACACTACTCTAAATACAACACCTACCATGGCCAACTCTCAAAGAGATCCTAACATGCCTAGACTAGACACCAGATTTAATGTTCCCATTCAGAAAAATTGAGGATTTAAACATCCTGTATAGCCAAAAAGGTTCACAATTCTAGCATGGGTTTTAATGCAGATGGGTTAAGTGCCTATTTCTATACCTCAGATAGCTCTTGGAAAAGAAAATCTGTTAACAAAATTCCACAGGTCTCCTTTATCATGTTTATGCAAGCAAA